CAAAGTTATGTTTGCAAGTTTATGTTATGTTTTGCCTTGGCAATATGTTATGGAAGCATGAAATGCTTTAGCTTACTTTCCATGGCATTCATGTGTTAATGTTATAACATGTCATGCATGTGCATTATGTCTTGCATGCTTATGGGTAGTGTTTGCTACTGAGATTCTCCCGAATCTCACCCCTCCCTAACCAACCATTTAGGTCAGTCAATGATGGGCAATAATGGCATGAGAAGCAAGGAGAAGTAAGCGGAGAATTATTCTTGTTAATGGATGAGACTGTTGATATATGTATAATTCTACTATTTTGTGAACTATGTTATGGATGCCAATGATGCCATGTATTTAATTATAATATTTATGGCATGAATGAAAGTGTATGAGCATGAATGGGAAAGAGTAAGGCCATGTTATGTATGCCAAAGAAATAAAAAGAATTAAAGAGATGTTAAGGGATAAAACGTAAGTCCTGGAGCAGTGAGTTTGTAGCTCCAGTTTGACCTATCAAACGAGTGAGTTAGGTCATAAGATTTGGCAAGCAAAGAGATCTGATGTTTCTATTTAAAATGAGGGGTAGTTTGCCCGATTCCGATGACCGAGCAGAAAGTTATGCCTTTCCAAAGTTAGGCAAAAATACAGTAAAATCCGAAAATGACCAAATGAACAGTAAATTTTTCAAAGGAAATTGAGCTCGAATTTCAAGGCAATCAGTTCAGAAACTATTTTTCCTCAAAATTTTATCCAAAGAGCTTTCTGTAGAACTTGGAATCACTCAATTTCAATTTTTCTATAATTAGTTATGAATTTTTGAAGTTTGTCACATTTTAAGGTGACAATGAATAGTAACCCGTAAATGAAAATTTTCGAACTTGATTTTTCATCAATTGTAGCCTTCAAAAGTGATTCCAAATGCTTCCGCAAGGAAAGTTAATTGATTTAAACATGAGGTGTCACAGTGAAGGTAGGGGTATGCTGCGGCAAATGTTTTCTAGGCGAGCGAGAGTTTCCTCTCGGGAAGCTTTCGCCGCGGCGAAGATTGGAGTTCGCCGCGGCGAAGTCGGGTTTTCAGGTGAGTAATCCCTCTCGGGATTAGTTCGCCGCGGCGAAGGAGTCCGAATCTATATAGTCGCGGGAGGGGTTCAGTTGTGCAAAAATTAGAAAAATCTGAGGTAGAGAGAGAGGCTCTGCTAGGGTTTCAATATTTTGGCTTGGAGGGGGCATTTCTAAGGATCCATTACCTCAAGTAAGTAATTTTAACCTCTAATCTACTTTCTTTCTTGGAATTTTTGAGGATTTATAGTGGAACCCTAGAGTTTTCTAGGTTGTGATGGAATTGAGGTTTTTGACTGATTGTTTTGAGTTTAGTTGATTGTTTTAGGTTAGTCTAAGTATTTAATCAGTGTAGTTTTCTTGGATTTAAAGAACCTTGAGTTTTTGAAGTTAGGGTTCATGAGATTGGGAGGTTTGTGACTAAGGATGACAATGTGGAGATTGATTTTGAGTTTTGTGATTTGGGTTATGATAAGGAGGGTTAAATTGGATGTTTAATCGGTTTAGATTGTTGTTAGAACCTCAATTGTTCAAATGGGATGATTTGGGTGTTGAATTTCTATAGTGGGTCCTTGAGGGTATGAATTCTAATCCATGTTTGGAAAGGAATTAAGGTTTTATATGGACTTTTATGACCTTGAAGTGTTGTTTTGATGGTTATACCCTTTGAGTTGGGTAGAGTTTTAGTTGGAGCTAGGAATTTTTGTGTCCCCAATTGTTGTTTTGGCCACATTATTAGTTGAAAGCTAATACATGGTGGTTGTGTGTTTGTGTGCTTGTGTAGACCGGTTGTAAGCCTTATTGGTGAGCGGGGCCGTATTGTCGGTTTGTTTTTCCTTGCTCAAGCGAGAGGCAATCACTTTCCAATCCTTTGTACATGCTTTTGTGGTATTGTGAGTGGATTTATGTTTTGTGCTCCGGATAACAAATGTGTTCAAAGTGTATATCGTATATTGAAAAGGAAAACCGTCTTGTGGGGTTTAAATTGATATTGATTGAATTTGTAGCTTGTGAAAGATAGGCCACTGAAAGAGGTTAATTGTGAAATGAATATTTACTCTTTGATTATAGTTTGAGCATGATGCATGAATTGGGAATTGGTGAGAGTTTCATTGTTACTACCACGTGGTAAGGCCTCCATTAATGCATGATGGTTGGCTCTTTACGTCCCCTATAGTGAGGGATAGGCCTTTTGGCTCCTTAACTCCCCCATAGTGAGAGATAGGCCGGGTTCAGCTCTTGAAAACCCCCCAAAGTGAGGGATTTGGTTGATGGGATTGCATCATTGCACTTGCATACTTGTTGTGGCTATCATTTATCATATTACTTGTGAACTGCCCCACTTGACACCTCACAAGCACCTATTTAGTAGTACCTTGAATTGGAAAGATTGGTTACTGGGACGTTGTCTCACTGAAAGAGAGCCTTTCTTATCGTTCGCTTAGGGGTTCTCACTCAAAAATTTATCCAAGCTATGCTGTATAATTGCAAACTCAGGTCGTTTCTCTTTTGGGAGCCTTAGTTAGTTATCTAGGTTAGACTAAATGTTATGCAGAGTAATGAAAAAGGGGGGTTTTTGGGTTTTTAACATTTAATGAAATGTGCCAAAACTAAATGCAATTAAATCAAATCTAGGTTACTATGTTTTTGGATTTTTCTAAGATAGTAGTAATGAAGTGGAAATTAATGATAGGTAATCTCTTGAAAATGGCTTTGAAGCAATCATAGTTTAAAATAATTTTGGGAGTAAAAATCACCAAGTTTTCTAAAGGAAAAACCTTAAAGAACTCTTTAAGTCTAGGATCTTAATCAATGGCCACCCATCTCATAAGATCCTATTAAGCTCACTTAGTGTGTGTATTAAGATTAATTAATGCACTTGGTTTAATGCAAGCCTAGATTAACTTAACAATCAAACAATACCATGCAAGAAAGAGAGTATCAAAAGAGTTGCATAGAAACATATATGTAACCACATATATTGAAGCTCAAATTCAACATTATCTAATCCAATACACAAGATAATCATCTAGAATTGATTACAACCATAATCAAAATAGTTCAGCCCCAATTTACAAATCCTAAGACCTAGAAATTCATAAATAAAGAACTAGAACTATGGATGAAGCTAACTCCCCTTTGAAGCTCTGGGAACTCATGCTTCTTCCAACATATTCAAGAGTTGAGAAGCTTAGCTCATCACAGCTCTTGAATCAGCTCCAACTAGAGATTGTTCTTCAGCCATGACAGTAGCAGATGGAAGAAATGGAAATGGAGGATTAGGGTTTCTGAGGGAGAGATGAGAGAAGAAGATGATAGAAACATAGGTGGAGGCTGAATAATGAGAGTCTGACCTCATCATACCCAAAATAGGGTTTCTAACCTGAAAATTGCATGCATGGGTCGGTTTCTGGGGATGGGTAGGTCAAAATTTCCCGAAATGGTCGGGTCTGAGATTTGCTGATACGAGAGGTTCGCCGCAGTGAAGAATAGGTTCACCGCGGTGAAACATGGCAGAGAGCCTTGCTTTAACAGATGATTTTCGCCGCAGCAAAATAAGATGTGTGCCGCAGCAAACTTAGGCAGAGGATCCTCTCTTACTTCTTGTGCCTTGAGTTCTTCAATTCTGGCCCCAATCTTTAGTGTCCTACAATAAAAAAGCAACAAATTGAAGTATCAATTGTCCTAGAAATCAATTGAATACAATTAATTACCAATTATGACAATTTTATCCTAAAAAAGACACTAACTTAAAGTAAAGACTCTTAATCTAGATTAAGCACAATAATCATTAAAAAGGGCCAGAAAATATCACAAAATCATGGATAATGTAATGAAAAGATAATAATATCTTGAGCTCAATCACTCACCCCGTGGTTTACAATGTTTTCAGGTGAAGGTTCCGGGCGTGTGCCTTCGGGAAGAGACACAAAGGGTTGAGCTGGGTTAGCTTTAGGCCTCTAGCCTTTGCATATGTATAGCTAGTTGTATATTGCCACGTTTAGGATCCCTTTTGAAATATTTTGATTACTCGGCCTTGTTGTAAACTGGAGAGAATGTTATCTCCTTATTTTGGTTGGCCGAAGGCCACTTCTAGTGTCTTAGGAAACTCTGACTTTATTTTGCTGAAAACTATTTGGATAGGCTGTTTGTGATGTATGTTGTTACCCGGGCCGGAGGCTCGGAGGCCCAGTAGATGTTAATGAATGATTTTTAGTTGCATGCAACGGAGTTTGGGTTTGACTCGAGTTTGAAAGTCAATTTCTAAAAATATATGCAAATTTCTTTCTACTATGGTAGTTCATGTTAACAGATTTCCTTTTCTACCATAGTAGTGATTTTATGACGAGTTATAATGTTATGGGTTAAGGGATTTACAAATTGGTATTCAGAGCCGATTCGTTTCTTTGAAATTGTTTCTTTTCCCAGTGGCAATATACATACTTCATACATACCTTACCTGTTTGTTTTGTGTTTCCTTTATTTTCTTTACTAATGAGGGTTTCCATCCTTAGTTGGGGAGAGAAAGGATGGTACGGACACGTCAAATGGATCCAGTTGGTAACGGACCGCCTCAAGAGAATAAGGCCTTTCTAAGACAAATGAGGGAGATGATGACAGCAGTGGTAGAAGAAAGATTGAGGAAGTTTGAAGAAGACTTCACAAGGAAGCACCAAGAGTCGGTCAATCAAGAGGATCGAGAGAACGAGGTGACTATGGAGGCACAAGGAGAAGGAGAAAGGGGGTTTAGAGGTGGTGATCGAGCTGGAGACTTACCTTAGAGGGAGGAGCATCGAGCAGTTAGCCAGGGAGGAGATACTTCAGAGGGAGTGATTTACCCTCTGCTACTGAATGACATCACCAAGGTATGGAGAGAGGTGCATCGTCATGATCCTCCACAGTTCAAGGGAAGTTTGGAACCGTCAGATGCAGAGAAGTGGATTAAGCGGATGGAGACAATCTTTACTGCCATTCCTTGTCTTTCCCCGCTCAAGGTACAAGTAGCGGTCACCTATCTTGTGGAGCAAGGAAGGCATTGGTGGGATAGTGCAAGACCTTCTGATATATCTCAGTTAGACTGGGATACCTTCAAGCGGATGTTCTATGATCACTTCTTTTCGAAGGAGTTGCGAATGGAAAAGCAATTCCTATTCTATTCCTTGAAGCAGGGAGAGATGCATGAGGATCAGTTTATCACAAGGTTTATAGACTTGGCGAAGTATGTGCCTAGGCAAACGGAAGATCATTCATTCTGGCTAGCTCAACAATTGATGAATCGTGCAAGGCCAGAGTTGAAACAGCAATTGGCCCTGTTAGAGGTCAGTACATTTGAGGAGATGTGTGTGAAGCTGCGGGTTGCGGTTAGAAGGACAAGAGAGGTGGTGGAGGCAAGGAGGGCTGAGAATCAAGCTAGAGCAGCCCATTATCCTGGTCCTACAGGAGGAGTAGGGAAGAGGAGTCAGTATAGCTCTGGGAGCTCGAGTAGCTCAAGAAGAAACAAGAATCAAGGGCAGAATCAGAGGGTGAACGCTCAGAGGGGCTTTATGCAAAGGCGCCAGAATCCAAACAATCAAACTGGCGGGGGACAGGGCTCCCGTCGAGATTCATCAGTGACCACCCCGAGTGTTACTGGACCGTGCCCCAGATACGGGGGTAGACATGCGGGGCAATGCTGGGAGTGCTTTCAATGCCATCGGTGGGGACATATTGCTAGAAACTGTCTAGAGAGTCAACCGACACCTCAAGCTGGCCGTTCTACTGTTCCGGGACGTGTATATGCCATGACAAATGAGAAGGCTTCTGCATCTCCAAGCTTGATTTGAGGTAACATTCTACTTGAGGGGCATGTTATTTCTGCTTTATTTGACTCGGGTGCTACGCACTCCTTTATTTCTATGGACTATGCTCAGAAGTTGAGCTTGCCTGTGGTTGAGCTACTTTATGACTTAAGAGTGTCTACTCCTGCTGGAGTCACTGTTGTAACTGGAAGAGCGTGTCTAGAGCTTGCACTTCAGTTTGAGAATTGAGATTCTACAATAGATTTGTTTTGTCTACCTCTGAAAGGTATTGACGTGATTATTGGCATGAATTGGTTGATGGCCAATGGAGCAATCCTTGATTGTAAAAAGAGGTTGGTGACGATTTCAGTAGGTGCCTTATGTGCTGAAATATTAGGTGGTCCGGTTTTGTTGTCAGCTGCTCAAGTAGAGAAGGCGGTGAGGAAAGGGTGCCAGGCCTTCATTGTCTTCTTTTCAATTAGTGAGGATGAGACAGGAGGAATTGAACAGATAGCTGTGGTAAGGGACTACCCTGAGGTGTTTTCAGATGAGGTTGCAGGACTACCTCCAGAGCGAGAAGTGGAGTTCTCCATAGAACTTGTTCCGGGAACCACCCCAATCTCCAAGGCTCCCTATAGAATGTCTCCTTCAGAATTAGTCAAGTTGAAAAAGCAGTTAGAAGAATTGTTAGAAAAGGGACTTATCCGACCAAGTGTGTCGCCGTGGGGATCGCTGGTTTCGTTTGTGAGGAAGAAAGATGGTAGCTTGAGGTTGTGTATCGACTACCGACAATTAAACAAGGTCACAATCAAGAACAAGTACTCGTTGCCTAGAATTGATGACCTATTGGACCAATTAGTCAGAGCATCAGTTTTCTCTAAGATTGATCTGAGGTCAGGATACCATCAGTTGAGGGTACGAGTAGAGGACATTTCAAAAACAGCCTTTCGAACTCGTTATGGACATTATGAGTTTTTGGTGATGCCTTTTGGACTGACAAATGCTCTAGCTGTCTTTATGGACTATATGAATCGGATCTTCCGACCTTATTTGGACAGATTTTTGGTAGTGTTCATCGATGACATTCTGATTTATTCTAGAAGTGAGGAAGAACATCGAGAACATCTTCACATCGCACTACGGATTTTGAGGGATCACCAGTTGTATGCTAAGCTGTCAAAGTATGAGTTTTGGTTAAAAGAAGTGAAGTTCTTGGGTCATGTGGTGTCAGCTCAGGGAGTAGCAGTGGATCCTAACAAGGTGGACACGGTACTTGGTAACTGAGGTGCGGAGTTTTGTGGGATTAGCTGGATACTATCGGAGGTTCATCCAAGGCTTTTCTCAGATTGCAATGCCATTGACTAGGTTAACCAAGAAGGATCAACCGTTTGTTTGGACGGAGAAATGTGAATCAACGTTCCAAGAGCTGAAGACCAAGTTGACTACAGCTCCAGTGCTTACACTTCCGATCCCTGGAGTACTGTATGTTCTTTACACCGATGCATCACTAAAGGGTTTGGGTTGTATGCTAATGCAGAACAATAAGGTGGTGGCATACGCTTCTAGGCAGCTGAGGCAACATGAAGAAAACTACCCAACCCATAACTTGGAGTTAGCGGCAGTAGTTTTTGCACTAAAGATCTGGAGGCATTATCTACATGGCTCCTAGTTCGAAGTTTTCAGTGACCATAAAAGTTTGAAATACTTGGTGGATTAGAAAGAGTTGAACAACCAACAGTGTCGTTGGATGGAATTCCTGAAGGACTATGACTTTGAGATTAAGTATCATCCTGGAAAAGTAAATGTGGTAGCAGATGCTCTGAGTAGAAAAGCAATGCATGTGTTCTGTATGAGCTTAAAGGAACAATTCTTGCTCGAGGAGCTATTAGAGATACTAATTGTACCATCGGAGCAGGCTACTCTATGTGCAGTGCTCGGAGATTATGAATTCTATCAGGATTTACGAGCAGCTCAATGGGAAGATGATCAGCTGGCAAGGATTTGGGTAGAATTGGAGGATGGCCCAGTGCAGGACTATGAACTTGGAGATATGGGCATCCTGAAGTACAAGAATCGGATTTGTGTTCCCCAGGATGAGGAGTTTAAAAGAACTATCCTAGAGGAGGCTCACCGAAGCCGTTACGCTATCCACCCCGGTGCAACCAAGATGTACCATGACCTAAAGCAGCAGTATTGGTGGCCCAACATGAAGAAGGAAGTGACTGACTTCGTACTTCGATGTTTGACTTGTCAGAAAGTTAAGATAGAACATCAACAACCTGGAGGTTTGTTGCAAGGACTAGAAATCCCTCAGTGGAAGTAGGACAGCATCTCCATGGACTTCATTGTAGGTTTGCCGAGGACACCCGAAGGTTATGATGCTATTTGGGTGGTGGTGGACAGATTGACAAAATCTGCTCACTTTTTACCCTATAAAGTCAATTATACCTTGGAGAGAATGGCCAAGTTGTACATGGATGAAATTGTCAGGCTTCATGGTGTTCCGTCGAGTATAGTCTCGGATCGAGATCCGCGCTTTACTTCTAACTTTTGGAAAGCGGTGAATGCGGCTTTGGGTACTAAGTTGAAGTTCAGTACGGCATATCACCCCCAGACTGATGGACAGACAGAGTGAACAATTCAAACGCTAGAGGATATGTTGAGAGCTTGTGCCATTGAATTTAAGGGGAGTTGGATTGATCACCTACCTTTGGCTGAGTTTGCCTACAACAACAGCTACCATGCCAGCATCCAGATAGCCCCTTATGAAGCACTCTACGGCCGGAAGTGTCGATCGCCTCTTTGTTGGACGGAACTGAGTGAAAGAACGGTTTTAGGACCAGATTTGGTAGATGCCACCACAGAGAAGATTGAGGTCATCAAGCAAAAGCTGCTGACAACTCAGAGCCGGCAAAAGAGTTATGCTGATAGGAGGAGGAGACCATTGGAATTTAGTGAGGGTGACCATGTGTTTTTGAGGGTCACGCCGACTACCGGTATTGGGAGGTCCGTTAAAGCGAAGAAGTTATCTCCTAGATTTCTTGAACCCTTTGAAATTCTGGAGAGAATTGGAGAAGTAGCCTATCGAGTTGCTCTGCCACCGCACCTGTCCAACGTACATGATGTGTTTCATGTGTCCTAACTAAAGAAGTACCACCCTGATCCGTCTCACATCTTAGAGCCTGAGGAGGTGGAGCTGGATGACAATCTAACTTACTAGGCTGAACTGGAAAGAATCCTTGATGTGAAGGACAAGCAGTTGAGGAATAAGACCATTCGATTGGTGAAAGTTTTCTGGAAAGGCATGAGTCCTGGCGATGCCACCTGGGAGACAGAGGAAAGGATGTGACGTGATTACCCTCGTTTGTTTTCTTAGTAAGTGTTTGTGTTTGTTTGTGTGGTGTTTTTGTGTGATTGCTTGAATTTTGGGGACAAAATTCCTTAGTTGGGGAGAATTGTAACATCCTGAGTTTTATCGGGTTTTTAATAACCTCTTTTGGTTGATTTTGACGATAGATTAGTGATTTAATGTTGATCTTGGTGTTTAGGTTGGATTTGAGGTATGTTGGAGGTATAGGTGAACATACCCCTCTCAGGGTATGTTCACCGCGGCGAAGTTTTACTTCATCACAGCGAACCGGGAGTTCCAGGTAGGCTTTGTCTTTCGGGCAGGTTTCACCGTAGCAAAGGTAGGGGTATGCCGCGGCGAAGGTTTTCTAGGTGAGCGAGAGTTTCCTCTCGGGAAGCTTTCGCCACGGCGAAGATTGGAGTTCGCCGCGGCGAAGTCGAGTTTTCAGGCGAGTAATCCCTCTCGGGATTAGTTCGCCGTGGCGAAGGAGTCCGAATCTATATAGTCGCAGGAGGGGTTCAGTTGTGCGAAAATTAGAAAAATCTGAGGTAGAGAGAGAGGGGGCATTTCTAAGGATCCATTACCTCAAGTAAGTAATTTTAACCTCTAATCTACTTTCTTTCTTGGAATTTTTGAGGATTTATGGTGGAACCTTAGAGTTTTCTAGGTTGTGATGGAATTGAGGTTTTTGACCGATTGTTTTGAGTTTAGTTGATTGTTTTGGGTTAGTCTAAGTATTTAATCGGTGTAATTTTCTTGGATTTAAAGAACCTTGAGTTTTTGAAGTTAGGGTTCATGAGATTGGGAGGTTTGTGACTGAGGATGACAATGTGGAGATTGATTTTGAGTTTTGTGATTTGGGTTATGATAAGGAGGGTTAAATTGGATGTTTAATCGGTTTAGATTGTTGTTAGAACTTCAATTGTTCAAATGGGATGATTTGGGTGTTGAATTTCTATAGTGGGTCCTTAAGGGTATGAATTCTAATCGATGTTTGGAAAGGAATTAAGGTTTTATATGGACTTTTATGACCTTGGAGTGTTGTTTTGATGGTTATACCCTTTGAGTTGGGTAGAGTTTTGGTTGGAGCTAGGAATTTTTGTGTCCCCAATTGTTGTTTTGGCCACATTATTAGTTGAAAGCTAATACATGGTGGTTGTGTGTTTGTGTGCTTGTGTAGACCAGTTGTGAGCCTTGTTGGTGCACGGGGCCGTATTGTCAGTTTGTTTTTCCTTACTCAGGCGAGAGGTAACCACTTTCCAATCCTTTGTACATGCTTTTGTGGTATTGTGAGTGGATTTATGTTTTGTGCTCCGGATAACAAATGTGTTCAAAGTGTATATCGTATATTGAAAAGGAAAACCGTCTTGTGGGGTTTAAATTGATATTGATTGAATTTGTAGCTTGTGAAAGATAGGCCACTAAAAGAGGTTAATTGTGAAATGAATATTTACTCTTTGATTATAGTTTGAGCATGATGCATGAATTGGGAATTGGTGAGAGTTTCATTGTTACTACCACGTGGTAAGGCCTCCATTAATGCATGATGGTTGGCTCTTTACGTCCCCCATCGTGAGGGATAGGCCTTTTGGCTCCTCTTTACGTCCCCCATAGTGAGGGATAGGCCGGGTTCGGCTCTTGAAAATCCCCCAAAGTGAGGGATTTAGTTGATGGGATTGCATCATTGCACTTGCAT